CTCCAGAATTATTAAAATCATCACATTGTTTTTAAATTCCTGAATTTTTTTGCTGTTACATAGTTAATTGAATAATACAATTTGCCTGACTATATTAATTCAACTCTAAATTTATTAATTGAATAATACTGTTTGAACTTGTTCAATCATTGTTTTTTCAGTTATTTTTCTTTCAAGCATCAACAATCCATTCCACAAAATACTCAAAAATCATCAATATATATATTTTGAATATGCAGGGGTGACAGTGCATTTTGTAGCCTAGAATGTAGAGAGCAACAAATGAAGCAAGATGAGAGAAAAGAGAGAGTTGTAGGCATGGCCAGAAAAGGCGAAAGCCGCTTGCCGGAAATGGCAGCTTCCGGCACCGGAGCTAGCACAAGGGCATCGACCACAACCGATGTAGCCAGCTTCTGATACACATATATTTTAATGGATCAATAGTGTATATATGCAATGGTATTGGGTTAAGGAAGTAGATGTTGTTAATGGTATTATAATGAAGGTAGAGTGTTAAAGTGCAAAATGAGTAGTGTTTTGTATTTTGATGGTAGATAGTAGGAAGCAGAACAAGACTATCTCCCAAGATATTATGATGTGGAAATTAAAAACCACCAATTGCAAGATAAGTGGTATTTGGTCTGTGTTTCTACCATGAATTTGCAATGCATTTGCTAATTTTGAGGTCAAATGGGTTAATTTGGGTTTTATTGTTTCAGGAAATCCTACGACCCGTTACGGAACTATTCCGTCGCGGTTCGTAATTGTTAGATCATCATGTAACCGTCCGGGATAATTGATCTAACAACCCCAACCGGACCGTAGCATCTCCCATTCTCCCTACTGTTTCACTCATTTGCTTGTTACAATTATGGACTACTTTGTTGACTTGTCCAAGTAGTCACAAGAATTTGATCCTGCCTAGAATGGTTGAAGGATGAAAATTGATTGCTTGTTGTTAAAATTATTATTTTTATTATTATTGGAATAGTTTATGTAATTGTTGGAACATCATGAACTCATGTAGAAATTTATATTTCTTGTAAAGATAAAATAAATAAGACACCACATTTAAGTCATCATAATGTGTAGTAACCAATTACTCATATTACTATTATTCTATCATGAGCACATGCACAAATATCAATAAAATTATCGGTTTTGTTATGAAGCCAACAGTTGGCACCATAGTGGAGTCAACCTTCTATATACGACAAATAAATCTACCATATGATTTGATTACTTAAATAACATTAAAATAATTCTATTGATATGGTAGGTTTATTTGTCGTATATAGAAGGTTGGCCACTATGGAGCCAACTGTTGGCTTCATAGCAAAACTATAAAATTATATACCCTCTTCTATTTTTATTATTTGTCGTTTTGAGAAGCAACACGCTAATTAATTTTTTTTTCTTGTCAATATTAACCCTATTTAATGGATGTTATGAGAAACTATAGAGATGGGATATGAAGAGACACTGTGCATTGATGGAGGGTTAAAAATGAAAAGATATGAACAAAATAGCCAAAACGACATTTATTTAATAAATAATCAATTAAGCCAAAATGACAAATAATAAAAATAGGAGGGAGTATATTATATGTATCTACATATAATATTTAAAATTATAAATCAGATATGAACATATCATATTTTATAAATTTTATCATTAGTAAAAATAAAAAATATAACTATTAAATTTTACCTTATACATCAATCTTTATATTGATTGTAATAATGTACTTTTTGCAATATTGGATCATTATGACCAATTCGCCATATAAAACAATATTGAAATTATTATTATTATAGCAATTGGGTAAGGAACTTTAAAGTGCTTGATTATGCCCCAAAAATAATTAACTTATTTAATAAATTACTTAATGAGTAAAAAAAGATTTTGAAAAAAAAAAAGAAAAAATAATTATTTAATGTGATTTTAAGATTAGTTAATATTAGTAGTGTTTATTTTATAGTAAATAGATAAAAGATATAATTATTTAATTAATGCAAAAGTTACGATAGGAAAACAAAGAGTTTAAAAAAAAAATTTATCTATAATTATATAAATTTTGCGGTCGTTATTATAACTTGTAATTCGGTCGGTTGAAGGCGTTGATTGACCTGGACTTGTAACAAGTCAACAAGATTTAGTGTTGATGGGCCTAATGACATTTATTGATTGCACGCGGAGACGAAGTCTGTTTATTAGAAAGAGACTGCATTTTGACGTGATTTCATATCCTCCATATATATAATTCTCGAATGCGCTGAGCTACTTGGCTACTCCTGGTGCTTTGGAATCCTATTTGGCCAAGAATCATGTTTCGTAATTAGGTTTGGATAAATAATATATTAATAATTAATAATCTAGGTTCGGACATTCTATAAATATTATTTATCTAACTTAGGTATTTTAATATCACTTGTACTAATATAACTATTTAATTATTTGTAGTTTTACCTAGTGAGTCACTAAATGACTAATATATCTTTGACTTTGATTTGTTTCATTCAATTAGTTATTGAATTGTAAATGTATTTTAAAAGTTGATAACTTTTGTATTTCTTATCGGTTTTATATATATATTATATATCAAATTAATCATCTTTTGACGATCTTCGATTTGACATCCATATTGTATATATGAAATAAATAAATTATATTTATCTTTATAATAATAAAAATAATACTAATATTTATTAAAATTCATTAGAAAAATAAAATTATTTACCAATTGATATTTTTATTTTTAATGTAGTTATATGTTGTAAGTTCGCACGAATAAAAAGTGTCATACTAAATATATAATAATATATTTTTGTAAAAGGTATTTAAATTTTCAACTACTTTTTCTCATTAATTTTAGATTTTAAGAAAAAAAATTAGCAACCACCCGTGTAATACACATGTGTTGTACTAGTTAGAGATGAAATAACTTTGTATACAAATAAATTAGGAGCCAAAAAAAAATGTGAGAAGTGTTATAATTTATGTTATGTTATGTTATTCTTAATTTATTCTTTCTTTCTTCTTTCTTCTTTTCCGTGTACATTTGGCTACAAATGAGTTGCTTTTTATAGGCAAATTTTCATCACATTCTAGCACTAAGCCAAGAAAAGGGATGAAGCTTACCTTTTTTTAAAGCAGTGAGGACCAATCAATAAGTAATTATAGCTGGAAAAAAAACGAGATAAGAAAAAAAGAGTACAGCCGCACATGCTCCCCCTCGAGTTATCATCCGTGCAAATCTTCATTAAAATGACAATCATCAAATCGAGCTGTATAAAAATCACCTGTTTTGGTTCAAGGTATTTGATTATTGATGGAGATTCATATCCAACATATATTTCCAACCTTCTTTGAGGCCCCATTTTTGTACGTTGGGGCGGAGGGTACATACACTGCACAACCAAAAACTCTTATATGTGCAATATTTGGTTCTCGCTCATATGCCAACTGTAATGGCGAGTATGTATGGTATGCACTTAGTCTTATTCGAATTAGACCATCTGCATGCAGAATAGCATGTCCTCATACTGAAGTGGGGAGTTTTGTCCTCATTATCAATGGTCTAGCTATAAACTGCAGTCGTTTAATCAATGATTCTGCTAGACCATTTTGAGTGTGAACATGTGCCACATGATGTTCAACATCAATTCCCACTGCCATACAATAATCATTAAATGCTTGAGATGTAAACTCACCAGCATTGTCAAGTCTGACTCTTTTGATAATATAATATGAGAATTGAGCCCTTAACTTAATAAGTTGAGCGAGTAATTTAGCAAATGACACATTTCTAGTGGATAACAAACTCACGTGAGACCATCTACTAGAGGCATCAATTAATACTATAAAATATCTGAATGGACCACATGGTGGATGAATAGGTCCACATATATCACCATGAATCCTTTCCAAAAATAATGGTGATTCATGTCCGACTTTAGTATGTGATGGTCTCATTATCAATTTTCCTTGAGTACATGAGGCACATGTCAATTCATGTGTTTGCAATATCCTCTGATTTTTTAATGGATGCCCACTAGAATTTTCAATAATTCTTCGCATCATTATCGAGCCAGGGTGACCAAGTCGATCATGCCAAAGTTTAAACATTTCATTCGACTTTGAATTTTTTGCAGCATAAGCCCCGATCATGTTAATCTGGGTGTAATATAAACCCGAGGATAGAGCGGGTAATCTCTCCAAAACACATTTATTTCTCGCATTATTTGAGGTAATGCAAAGATATTCAACTCCCCCTTTACTCATTGTTTCAACGTGGTATTGGTTCATTTGGATATCTTTAAAACTCAACAAGTTTCTTGTTGATTTTGGGGAGAATAATGCATCATTCAATGTAAATTTTGTACCTCCCATCATAAAAAATATGGCCTTGCCAAACCCCTCAAATATCTTTGCACTTCTTGATATCATGTTCACTTTCGCTTTATTTATTTATAGGTGAACAAAATATTTTCTGTCTTTAAATATAGTGTGGGTAGTGGCACAATCTGCAATACATATATCTCCATCTTGGATTCGAGACTGATCCATGATCTAAAAAAAAACATTTATTATTGATCAAATTCGAAGTACAGATAAAAGTAGTTCACACACAAATACATTAAAACTCAGAAAGCAAAAAAAAAAAAAAATGATCATCAATTATTCTCTTGGTCATTTCCAGCTCTGTCTTCAAATGTCGCATCAGAAAAATCTAGTTTCAATATGTCATCGATGCCATAGTCATCATCCACACGTGTTGCATCATTTTCAGAGGATTCCCCAACCATAAAATTAGTTTCTATATTCTTATCTTTTGATTTATGGGAATCGTTATAATTATCAACG